GCACACTTTAAAATAACCTGCTACGCGGGTTATTTAATGTGCACCACATTTTTGATGTCATTTCTTCATAGACAGAAAAAATATTACAGTCATTCCTTAAATATCTTAAGTTGTAAAGCGACTGAGGAACTCTTGATTGTCATGTCAGTATTAACCAAGTTTCACTTTTTCTCCTGTCTGATCTACTGTGAACATGTTAAAGATGAAATATGGAAAATAAATATATACAAATTTGGTCGAAATTACCAACTAAGGTAATATATTCCATTTTTTTTTAGTATTTAACACATTATTTAAGTTATTTTACGTTAATAATATGTTGGTTTCTTTGCATAACAGGGAAATATATCAACACACACCAAATTCTTCACACATTGTAGACAAATAAGTTGCAATAAATTTATCCTCAAAATAATAATGATAATACTTATTATCTAAAAAAAATATTACTGACACTTTTTGTGTGTGTATGTCCTTATCTCTATCGATATTCTCTATCCCTTTTGAATTCAATAGTGTCAGTACTTTTAGTAAAACTGTTAGTACCATAGAGTAGTTTCTCTAGCGTTAACTCTTCTACGTCAAGTGGATCAATATTTCTAGTAACATATTCCTTGTTTGTAGAGTAGAGCTACTCTACCATTACAGTTCTATTAACTCAAGAGTATCAATACTGTTCCTTTTTTGAGAAATAAAGGATGCGAATCTTGGACATGTTGTTTCCAGCGTAAGTTTATGATTATGTCAGTTAAAGAAATCTATGATATTTGGTATGCATTTGTTTAAGCATTAGCAAATCTCATTTCCAAGGAGAGTATTTGGCTCTGTCCCTACAGTCGTGATTATGTCAATTAAACAAATCTATGATACTTTATGCATTTGTTTTAGCATTAGCAAATGTCATTTCCAAGGAGAGTATTTGGCTCAGCCCCTACAGTCGTGATTATGTCAGTTAAAGAAATTTATGATTTTTTTTATGCATTTGGTCAATAGCAAATCTCATTTCCAAAGAGAGTATTTGGCTCCGCCCCTTCAGTCGTGATTATGTCATTTAAACAAATCTATGATATTTGTTATTAATTTGTATAAGCATAAGCAAATCTCATTTCCAAGGAGAGTATTTGGCTCTGCCCCTACAGCCGTGATTCAGTCAGTTTAAGAAATCTATGATATTTGTTTAAGCATTTGCAAATCTCATTTCCAAGGGGAGTTTTTGGCTCTGCTCCTACAGTCGTGATTATGTCAGTTAAAGAAATCTATACAAAAGACAAACAACAAGACACAAATTATAACATAGAAAACTTAAGACTGAGCAACAAAAACCTGGGTAAATGTCAGGTGCTACTGTAAATTATATACGATATCTGTTGTGCATTTGTTTAAGCATTAGCAAATCTCATTTCCAAGGAGAGTATTTGGCTCAGCCCCTACAGTCGTGATTATGTCAGTTAAAGGAATCTATGATATTTGTTATGCATTTGTTTAAGCATTAGCAAATCTCATTTCCAAGGAGAGTATTTGGCTCAGCCCCTACAGTCGTGATTCGGTCAGTTAAAGAAATCTACGATATTTGTTATGCATTTGTTTAACCATTAGCAAATCTCATTTCCAAGGAGAGTATTTGGCTCAGCCCCTACAGTCGTGATTATGTCAGTTAAAGAAATCTATGATATTTTTATGCATTTGTTTAATCATTAGCACCTCTCATTTTCAAGGAGAGTATTTGGCTCTGCTTCTACAGTCGTGTTTATTATATTTAGATTTTTGGAATCTGACAAACTTTATGTTTAAAAATTAGTATTTTTAGTCAAAACTGAGAATTTATCATTATATCTCCGAAAATAGGAAACGGGAAAGTTTATAAAATGTTAATTGATATTAACATAAAAGATGAGATGATACGGAAACTGGCAAAATGTCGTAACCATAAACTACTATTTTGAGTTTTTAAGATGTTTATCATGAAATCTCCGAAAACAGGAAGACACCATGTATATAATCATTTAGAAAGGTTAATTATCGAGTGTAATTTAGTAAACCTTCATCTTTGACTTGATAATATGTTAATCCTACTATAATTCGAGTTTTGGGAAAGACGATAATTTGTAGGTTTTCTTTAAGAAGGTTTTAAATGGAATAATACAAACTTTTACCTTGACATCCAAGTTGATTGACAAGAAAACAAATGTTTTTTTAATCTACAATTTATGGAATAATGTGCAAAAATTATTTGCATATACCCATGAGTGCATTTTATTGTTATTAACGATTATTTTAATTTTGCGGTTCATTAAGTTTTCACACATTATCAATACATTTCCGCGTATTCATTTAACAGGTAGACTTAGGCAGAATGCACTTATGTATATAAATACTATTTTATTCTAATATGACACAATAACTTATTATGTACTATCGGATAAAAGACTCATTTCACAGTATATAGGTTACATTCAATCTGTATCTTTGCCATTTAGATAATCCGTACTTGCATGAAAATACAGATATTGGGCTATTAAAATGTGCTGTTACGATCGAAAATTTGAACTTATTTCAAATTAAGGAATATATCTCCCTCAAGCAACACTGAAGTGACAATTATTGTCGAAATATGCATCTGGTGCAGAAAAAAAATGGTATCGTTAATATTATTTAGGACGGTTAATTATCGGGTGTGACTGTTTCTAAGTAGTACTAACCAAGTAAACCTTCTGTAAACTACTCTACTCGTATATATCCTTGTATTTTAGTACCCCAAAACATGTTGTTTTATCAAAATAAACGTCTTTTGTAATATTATTGTAACATATTATCTTTTTAGGATTAATCAATGGTATGTATACACTATTTGTATGATTAGTCTGAAATGCCCAAACCCGATACTGACAATATTCTTTCAATAAATTAAACAAGATACGCCAGAAAAAGTTCTAAAAATACTATGATTGGAAACTGACCACATGATGTACAAAGACACCCCTCCCCTCAGTAGGCACTACGATATAATTTTCATTAAGCAATTTTACACATATGGATATAGTTATCAAAGGTACCAGGATTATAATTTAATACACCAGACGCGCGTTTCGTCTACTTAAGACTCATCAGTGGCGCTCAGATCAAAATAGTTATAAAGATATACACATTTGTTGTATATTTTTCCTTGCGTTTAACTCCCTCTTAATGATGGTTTTATGTGTTTTATTTAAACTTATCAAAATATATCGAATTATAAAAAGAAATTTGCATCTAGATTGAATATACAAATTGTATATCAAAAACGAAATCAACTAAGCTGGTGCGTCTTATTATAAAACTTTCAGGCGTACAAATAAAATCTGATGCACTAATACCGTGTATATCGAACACGGATAGTTTTTGATTGCAGCCTTTTGTACGTGATAGTTTACAATTAACATTGTAGAAATTTAAAGCTTTCTGAAGGGGCTACATATAGAACAAATTATAAAGAAACAACAGTAGTATTTATTTATTTATTTATTTATCTATCTACTTATTTATTTATTTATTTATTTATTTATTTAGTAATTAATTAATTAATTTATTTATTTAATTAATTTATTTATTTATTTATTTATTTATTTATTTATTTATTATATTTATTCATTTATAATTATTTTTTTATCTTTTTATTTTTTTATTTATATATTATTATTTTTTTATTTAGATGAGAAGATGGAACAGACGCAACTTCTAGTAGGACGTGGAAAAGTGCTTGAAAATGACGAAGTTCAGAAGAAAGAAACAAACGTGTAAGCTCAATATCTATAATACTTATTCTTAAATTGTACTTGTAATAAGCATTGATATGAAGCCAACACCATTAAAGGGAAATATTTTTTTATAATAAAAAACATGGACTAGTCAAACCATTAATGACTTGCATACCATATCCTCAAGAAGAAATAAAAAGTGTACATGCATGAATAAAAGCAACAGTAGTATAAACTCTTACAACTACTATCAATAATAAAACGGCTGTCATAGACATGGTAGATTTTGTTTCCTGCAGTAGTGTAATATACTGTTTGAATTAAATATACATAAAAAAGGTGACAGTAGTTTATAACACAATGTTGACGGTTGTACCCTTTTTTGGCATTTTCACTTATTATGTCTGTTTGTTTTGTTCACACATCGTTGTCAATATAATGGAGTTTTATACGACTGTCATATAAGTAAGACATATAGCGATCTACAAAACCAGGTTTTATACACCATTTTCTACATAAGACAATCCATATACCAAGTTAGGAATATGACATTGTTATCAATTCCTTTGATGTGTTTGAGCTTTTCATTTTGCGATATGCTTATTGACTTTCCGTTTATAATTTTCTTCGGAGTTCGGTATTTTTGTTATTTTACTTTTTACCACTGTTTAATATCTCGTATATCGACAACTCAGTAACAACAAAAGACTGAGGGAATCACACAAACTCAAAAGGAAGAAACCCGGTTGCTTTGGCAAGATAAGAGTCTCTTGAGAATTCACACTCAGTCAAAATGTCAAAATCTGGTATAACACATCGTCGATTGAAAAAAACAGATCGTACGACTTACAAGTATCTAAAAATCTAAGACTGCGCAAACATGTCGCTAGTCACTTCAGACACTGACACATCGTATTGGTCAACCAATTAGTGATTTTGACAGTAAAACGTATGTAGTGTCGATTTCAGTCGTTCTTCCTTATAATTCTGCATTCTGCTTTAAACAAGTCTGCATATGTGAGAATAAATCGATATTTTTTGTGTACTTTATAGAAACAGTACTTTGTTATCATTGAACACGTCCTCGTGTCTTACTTTTTCATATGATATACTTATAATAATACTCTATGGGCAAGTTTCAAGGTTAACTTCAGTAAGTGCCACTTGTTTATAATTACAAGAAACAATTTTATTTTCCCCTACACACATTATGCCATTAATGGATTCATATGCAACTTGTTTTTATCATTCAGTAACACTTTTAAATATCTTGATGCAATAACATTATACTATTACATTTGCGTTATACTTGTCATATATTTTTTAAGGACTTTCAAAGATAGTTATGCTGTTGGATTGTTAAAAGGTAAGACCCATTCAATTAAAAACATTATTTTAGTTACTGTTTTTGATTTTGTTGTTGTTGTTGTTGTATTTTATTATTATAAGAGGCATTTTATTCATAGGGGACAATGTCGTAGAAAAACAAATAGTATCTCGTCCCCTCAAACACAGTCTGTAAACACAATAAAAAAAATGAAGAATAAGTAGCACGAACCCATCTAACAACTTAAGCGATCTTGAGTGCTCCGAAATGGTTAAACTACTATGTTTTAAAAAATCGTCTGTTCATACATGCCAAAAACAGTATACAAGTTTTACATATTTCATTCACCCTGGCACGTATGTATAATGCGAAATAATGTTCGACATAAATACAGAAGACTATGAAATTTTTCAAATTAATGTCATTTATTTTTGGTATTTGAATTTTTAAATGAATACAAATAAATGCCTTAAAATGATAATAATGTATCCAATACTATGTTCAAATATTCTTAACAGATGTCACAATTAAGTATTCATTATAAAACTACAATGTTCACTTAAAAAGGGAGTCTATTTACCAGTAAAATACAGACTTTAAAAACAATTCAAACGTTTTCGTTAAGCTGGGGTCACACATTTACGATTTTTACTGCCGTCCTTAACAAGACCATTCCTGATTAAAGTTTGTCGTCCAAATTCAGCCGTTTCCAACCGAATTTGTCCCGATAATCCTGGTCTAAATCGGATTTTAATCCGATTTATATTTTTCTCATGGTACAAGTTGACCGAATATGTCCCAACATCGTCCCGATTCTACCGAATATGATCAGACAGGAATAAGACAGTGACCAGACAGTGAACCAACGCTGACGGAAGATATCCGCTAGAAACTGTCGCCATATTTGGGATGATCAGGTACTGTCGGAACGCAATCCTATGACGGTCTGCTGTACCGCATTTCATACGGCTTTGTCTGGACTCAGTCGTATTGTGTTCTGTAATTGTTGGGACTCTGACGTGAGAATCATTGCCAAATAGCGTATTAGTAACGGGACTATTCCAGAATGGCTTCGGCAAAAATAATTCGCATTCGGCAAGATCTTGATGCAATCTGGACTCAATTGGCAAAAAACAGCAATGTCAAATTTCTCCAGATCATGCACGTTCCACAGTTACAGAAGTCCTGAAAACACAGAATATTGTAACGATTTTAATCCGATACATCAGAATTTGTCACGACATAGTCACAGTTGCAATCCTACTAGAAAAAAAATCAGATGAGTTTCCCCGAATGTTACGGGACGTACCTAAATGTCAGGGTGCTTGGCCGACCCCTCCGTACCATTCCCGATCAGTAGGAATCTGTTACGAACGTATACGACTTCGTTAAGAAAATGTTAGGACATTCCAGATTAATGAGGATAGTTATCCGACTTTTTAACTTTTCGTGTCTTAATGTTATCTGATCTCAAACGGGAGCCACAATCAGCACTGTGTAAACGCCGCATTAGGTGCTATTTCTTGGTCTTGACAATCGGCATCTGTCCAAGTTTCATAACAATCTATAAAGGTTAACAAATGTATCATGTAAAACAGAATTAATCCCAGACTGTCTGTACATGTTAAATGTATAAAACCAAGCCCAACAAAAAAAAAAAAATAATGAAAAAATATATTTTCAAAGGTTTGCTTCAAATCGTTAAATCTGCTGCCAATTTTTTATGAAACTCTATGAAGGTTGGACATAGTAATTGATGTATAACAAACCTTAAACCTAGACTGTTTATATTTGTTAACTGTAAAAAATTAATACATGTGTAAGTCCATTTATCAGTTAAAAACGGAAAAAATAAAATAAATATTTTTTTCAAATTCAGTTCTGGATATGGTATTTTGGTCATCAATAAGCTTCTGTCCGAATTTCATAAATTAAAATGAAGGTTTGACAAAGTTATTGATAACTGAAAAACTTAAACCTTAAAACTTCATTTAAATGTTGACTTAAAATTTTTTTTTTAAAATCCATATATCAGTAAAGTACAGATAATAGAAATAAATATTTTCAAACTTTTGCTCTGAATACTGTCTTCTTGGTCATGATCAAAATTCTGTTTAAATTTCATAACACTCCATGTAGGTTTGACAAAGTAATTGATGTTTAAAAAAATTTAAACCATAGACTGAACCTAAATGTTGACTCCGCCGACGCTATCATCGATGACGACGCCGACGACAGAATCTAGAATCGCTATGTCTCGCTTTTGAGAAATAAATTTTGCAAACTCAACAAAAAGGTAAACACGTATTCATTCATTTATTGGAAACACGTCTAACACATCACGCGGTATTGTACATTCCTGTAAAAGTTAAGTTCCTGTCGTTTGTAGACACTTTATGATTCACACTTGCAATGTATTTTAATATACTCAGTTATATGTAGATTAACATAATGTTTTAGATGACTGCAAGGATGGCATTTACAACATATTGAACGACATTATATTTCATACAGATTTTGATCCGAGCATCGTTGATCACCTTATTTCTAGTTGCGTTTTGACCATTGATGATGGAGAAAATATTATGCAAGCCAATTCGAGAATTGAAAAGAATAGTATACTTTATGACATATTATTTGAAAGACCATATAATTCATTAGCGCCACTTCAGCAAGCATCAATAGACGTCAAAAACATAGAAATACAGTTGATATTGGAGAAAAACGGCTTTGTAGAACAGGAAATAAACTTGCCACCTGTCAAACACTCAGATGGTAGGTAAAAAGGTTTACATTCAAGGCAAACTCAGTAAATTTTTTAATTTGTGCGAGTTTTTTTTATTATTTTCTGCTTTTTCTGAAAGATCCGCCATCAGGAAACTAAAAAAATTTGAAAGCCAAAGATGTATAAATATTTTTATCCGAGGTGAGCTTTTTGAGCAAATTGGACACAAACAAAATATCAAAATCCATCTAAGATCTACTTTGCCGGATGAAGTTGAGATCTTAGTTTCTGAACTGTTTCTAAATATTTCAAAAGCAAATTTAATAACGGTTTGTTATAACTTGTGTGAGTACCGATTACTGACTACACACACACGCACACACATATATATATAGACTGAATGAGAGAGATAAAAAACAGTTTTATCGAACACAAAAGGAATTAGTATTGAACTTCATACTATTTAACTTACACAACTATTTGTTTAGATTTAATAATCGCAATGTACACTTAGCTGCAAAAAAATTCTTAAACAGCATCCGATTTGTACCTGGATAAATGCACGCTCCTGATGAAGCTATTTTGTTTAGTGAAATATTGCGTGAATATAAAAAAAAAGTAACTATTTTTATAACACTCATCAGCGTGTTAAAGTTACATTCATAGGCATTAATATTTACATATATACAATCAGGATAAAACTAGATTATAAACAAATATTCTGATTTGAGCGTTCCCGATGAAGGTAAATCCAGAAATGCGTTTTGTTTTAATTTTTTAACACACTTAAAAAAACATAGCAGTTGTCATCTATTGAATATTTTTTGCGACAGTTCTGTATTTCACAGTTGAGTGCCCGTAAGGATTGTGTAGAATTCAGAAATATTCAAGTAGCTTAGCGATGTCATTTAGTACACGTAATTATATTCATAGGTAATGATATGATAAACGAATAACCCAACATCTCAAAAGACATCCAATGGTTATAAAGAAGACAAAAACATTAAGATGTAGGAAAAGTTAAGAGTTTTGGTCTTATGTTATTTTGATTTTAAGGATTTGGAAGTCGACGTTTGTAATACATGAGGGTGTATTTGATATTTAATTTTGTTATTTATCTTTCTTTCTTCATTGCAGATATCAAGGATGATTCTGTTCGTTTGCAAAAATGTTACAAAATTATAAATGACAATCTTGATAGTAAAGAACCCATCGATAAGCTTGTAGAGTTTGATGTTTTGAGTCTTGAACACATGGAGGAACTAAAAGCCTGTCGTTCACCACGAGAAACAAATAGGAAACTTTTACGTACACTTATGTTCAAATTTAAAGACGGATACCAGAATTTTCTTAATTCGCTAAAGGATGACTGTGTTCATGAAGATCTGGCTGAAAAAATCATGCAAACGGAAGTAACAGAAAAGGATAGACATCTATCAAAAATAGGTAATTGTGTGATGTTTGAAATAACATTTTTGAATTTAAAATGCTGAACATTTTTTTCCATTTGCTTTGCTCTTTTTTGTATTGTTGCAAATGTCAATAAAACAGACAGGTTTGTGGTAAAGGAATTGCATATAATGTAATTGAATTATAAAAGAACACGTTGCAAATATCTAAGTAGAACATACTGCATGACTATTATTGTTACTTCATCTATTTCAAAATATCAATGTCCATCAATATTTCCAAAAACTATTCAGTCGTCATCAGCATCGTTTCTGTAAACGTCGTTTATTGTACTAAGTACAAAACACTTCATCGTTATATATCTAAACGTTTGAAATTCTTAAATTTGTAAAGAGCAAGCGAGCAAAAACATTACAATTGATATAGTTAAAGACCTCTACAGACATATAACAGGATAGCATTTGCTGGAATAGGAAATATTTGACAACTAAAATGTTTATTTACAAACTGTGAACAATAAACAGGTTTATTCCGAAACTATGGAATGTATAACGACTGTGTTTTGTTTAAAATTATTTGACTATGTGTTTTACATTTGTGGATTGCTTTTTCATTGATTGGTAACCCATATATTTTTTTCTTCTTTTTGTTGTTTCTGGCGATTGACATACTCTTCCTAAATATTTACTTTATGATTATCAAATAAAAAATAATTCATTTACCATTTACATGCTTTAATTAAAGGAATCTGTGCAAGAAAGAGAATACATAAAAACAAGCAAATCAAAGGTAAATAAAATTGAGGATCGAAACATAAATATATGTTTTCGTATGACACACTGAATTATAGATGCGACAGAATAAGTACTTTTACCATTCAGAAATACTTCATTCACCAGAATAAAACGTTTTTCACTTTCAGAGTACAAATGCATGAATTTTACATTTATAGATTTCTATTTTCTAATTTATAATACAGCATATCAAATCTACCAGAGAAAAATTATTGCCTTATTAAACCATATCACATGTCTTAATGCAAACGAATTCATTACTTTGAAAAAAACACGAATAAAGGCTAAGCCTATTCTACGAGGAAATTATTGGTATGCCAGATTGATTCGCAATCCGTAGCATTTAACTTCAATTTGATAATGACCTTGGAAACAAAAGAAAAACAGAAAAATGTATTGTACATACAATATAGCCCATAAAGAGGTGACGAAACACGAACAAATAATTTAGTAAAGATGAATGGTGACAGGATTGTATTGTTGACTCAACTCCATCAATCAGTTACGGACTTCATAATTAAGCGTTATTAACCCTCAAGGAAACCCTAATTTGCAAGCTCCTTTTGGACTACCATGTGTGGTCTCGTCCTGAACCTTTGTTGGCTTATAATGTAAATATATTTCAGGTCATATGATTATTATGATAATCGTGTTTGACACTTTAGGTACTTTTTTCAGTGTAAAGTTTCAATTTCTATGTTGCAATACTCCAGCCAATATATGTGTATGGAGTTAATATGATTACGAGTTGATACGATATTACGGGGTTTGCGATGCATATAAAAATTTGATTATAATTGGTGTATGAATACAAACCGAAGGTATTGAATCGAGGTTTCCCAACCGTAAAGTTGAAAACAACACTTCTGGTTATTGAATATTTGTATCACTGAAAACCATGAATATATATTCCAATTGGTGTAATCATAATTCAAAGCTTGTATGTTCTATTAGGACATCACCAAATGCAACTTAGTTTCATGCATTAAATTTAATTCCAACATGACCTAAGCAACACAATATGTGCCAATAGAAGAGTAGGAACTTATGATACTTTAATGCACTTGAAGTAATGCCCTGTTTATCTATAGCTAGGTTCTAGTTACTCATTGTTTACTTATTTATCACGTGTTTTAGTGTACGCCGTTTCATTTTTTAAACCTCTTGACCAATACGGTCTCTATCCATCGGTAGCTTCCTTACATTTTTCACACTACAAAGATGAATCTTTTTATTCACAAATGTAAAATCTGACACAAAATTACTCTCAGGTATATTGTATATGAATCTTAAACAATCATATCACACAAAGCCTTACATCATTATTAACTTTAAAGTTAAACGTCAGGTAAGTTATATAGGATATGATAGGTTTTATATAATTTAAAAATATTCTTTATTCTTCTGATATCATAAAACGGCTGAAATTACTAATAATCAAATCTTAAGTTACTCCTCTTTTATCCTGAATTGTGAAATCTTTAGTTTTTTCGTAGTTCTCTGTGGATTGTTGAAAATAAACTATCAATCTTGTTACAAATAAAACTGTTGAAATATACAGCCGTAGCCTTTTCAATAAAAAAAAGTGTATCTAACTTATAACTGATACACATTTGTTGTTCCACATTTTGAGAGATGTCATTTGTTGCTAGATAAAATACGCCTTTTCGTCTGTTTTAGTTGTCGAAAGACACGTTCGTCGGACAAAGGCACACTTCAAACCTAAGTATGCGAAACTGTATGTTTCTAACACAATGGTTGTTTGACTCTTTTTTTACAGGTAACAAATAGAAAATTATGGAACACAAACGAAACTGTTGATGCCGATATTATAGCATTCAAAATCTCTGTAATAGAAAAGGATAATGGTTTGAAATTTATTTCATGTTTTGCATGCAGATGATCTATTAACATCATTTGTTTATTGAACTATGAAATTTCAAAAATCTAGTTGAAATGCATATACCATGCTTTTTTTCCGAATGATTATCCATTTAATACTAACCTTAGTATTTTACTCTTACTGTTGATACCGAAAATTTAGTACATTTGAAAAGCTATACCATATTGTCACCAGTTTAAGAATTCATTGGTACAGATGGGTGATGCTTGAACTACACTACTGGAACAATGCCCCGTAGATTGGCCGTGAAAATGTCCGTAAAAATGCTGGTGATTTTTACAGTGTTTGTCACGGTTAATTTACGGTTGGCCGTGAAACTTATCCGTGAAAATGCCGTGGAATGACTGTCGTGAAAAGGGTGTGAAAAAGTTTGTGAAAAGGCCGTGAAGAGGTGCCACCTGAAAACTTGGGTGAAAAGACCGTAGAAACCGTGTGAAAAAAAAATGTACACCGTGAAAAAGTCGTGATAATGCACTATGTGCCCATTGTGAAAAGACCGTGAAATGTAAATGTAGTACAGTATTTGTCGTGAAAAGGCCGTGAAAAGGTGCCAACTGAAAACTTGGGTAAAGAGACCGTAGAAACCCTGTGAAAACAAAAATGTACACCGTGAAATAGTCGTGATAAATTATGTGCCCATTGTGAAAAGACCGTGAAATGTACATGTACTACTGTGATAAACAGCCATTCACTGATTGTGAAAACTCCTGTAAAATTTTAAATGTATTTTTCAGGCCATAATTTAACAAAAAATTTAAATGCTGTTTCAATCAAGTGAAGTGAAATGCCTGAAAACCTAGTGTAAACATCTACAGACAACTTATTTAAGTACAATGCAAGTGAGACTATGACAAACCATTTAAAATGCTGTATTTTTTTAGTAATAATTGTGACAAAGAATAAAAATATTAATTTTAATAGAACTGTAGTCATTATGTAAAGAAAACATAAAAGCACACAAATGTCAATGTGATTAAGTAGCTAAAGTCAGCGGTAACATGTATTGTAGAAATTTTGTACATCTCTTGGGTTTGATTTTACCACTTCAGCAATATTTGTCTAATGTAATCCTTCACTTCACTGCCCCTTTGAATAACTATTCCAGAAAAACATTTATAGAAGTTCCTGTTAATTCCCAGGAAATACTTTTAACTGAAAAGCTCTTCTTTCCAACTGGATTCCTGAACTATTTTATATAAAGACTGCTATATCCTTTTGCTCTTCATTCCTAAAATAAATAAAGAAACATTACATATATTATACATGTATATAAAAAAACTATTTATATATTCAAATTAATTTTTGGCATTTATGTACATACATGTACTTAAAACAGCTTCAATATTATTCCATGCAATACAGGACTTCACGGTTAATGACCCCATATTGAATAGGGGGCAGATTTTCATACTGGAGGTGAAAATGGTATGAAAAATACTAAAAAACATCACTGAAACAGAACAGCCACTTGGAAACATGCATAGGTTTTCCCATATTTTCATACCATTTTCCAGAAAATCTGCCCCCTATCCAATATATATGGCATCATTAGTTAACGAAGTTCTGTATTGTTAACTTGTTGTTTTGTATTATTTATTTTTTTTAGATTTTTTTAAAGACTAAAGACACTTTTAAGACAGACTATTAAATTAAAATTTTTCTTTGAAGTAATAATATGTATGGCTAAAGCCAAACTTGTCTAGACTAAGTGGCCGTAATGAGTCACAGCTATTTATTTTACAGGGGGCCAGGGGCGTAGCAACTTTTACTGCAGGCACGTTCGCCATACCAATTATTTTTTAAACACCTCATTGCCATACCAATTATTATTATGATATGGCACAAACCCTTCTAGAAAGGACATTTTGCCGTACAAATATTAAATACTTTCCCTGCTACGCCTCTGATTAATCCTTTTGAACTCTGTGTCCCGACGGCCAAGTCAGAAAATACTTAAATAGCTCCAGACACATTCAAAGGGGGTTACGCCTCTGATTATCAGAGTGAACTCCATTTCAGAGATACTTATTGCTATTATAATCATTTCCAATTATATATGTCTATGTCTATGTCTACGTAGTGTACTGTACATAAATGTCATTTTTATTTATGTGGCAAGTGTGGGGAAAAAGGACCCCCCCCCCCTTTTTTCCCAAAATACATAAACAAAACAAAACCGTAATCGTATTCAAAGGATCCGGTAAGTCTTAGAAAACATTAACCGAAATGATTAAAGGAATCAAGTGCAACAGACTCAAATATAAGTGAATATATCACATGCATGTTTCTGCAAATTCAGTCAAAATCAGTTCAATGGATTCCAGGAAATGCTCACAAACGTCATCAACATTTTGGTGATATGATGCATAAACGAATAAAATATTAATAACTTAACTTACCTCAAACTTGCTGTCACTCGTCTTGCATCTATAAAGTAAATATTAATCGACCTTCGGCGTCTTTCGAATTTCCAACCTAAGTGCGGAAATGTTACTATTACTCTAAAAGAAACACGAATCCGGATACGGTCTGATATTCCGGGAAGTTCTCGTTTTTACATGTTTCGGTTCCAATTAAAATTAATGTTTACATTGTTTATAATAATGTTCAGACGAGAAGCAAAATACTTTTCTTTAAATACAAAATATTTATTTGCACAAAGTCATTATAATTATAACAATGAATGGTTCCATCTAAAAGTCAGTCCTGTACAGTAGTATTGCATATAATAATATTTAAACAGACATATATTTATAATAAAAAATTTATAGGATATTTAGAAAAATGTGAGTGCAAATAATTAGACCATATTACAATAATCACATGGGATGTTTTAAATCTGAATTAGGATAAGAAAAAATTGACATGAAAAAATATCACGGCCTTTTCACTGGTTTCAACAACCAGTAAAAAGGCCGTGATATTT